GAAAAGCTCACTGATTAGAGCTTCAGTGACAGGGAAGGTTGGAATGCTGCATGTTCAGAGTCAAATTACCCGGTATTTATGGTATTATACCTTAAGAACGTATATTTCTTGATTATTTAAGATGTCCTATAGTACAGTTAGCCAGGATTAAAATTGTTACTTTTTGTTCTTTCAAAACAGGGTCTCTGTGTGTAGTCCTGGTTGTCCTGGAACAGATCTTCCTGCTTCCGCCTCCCAAGTGCTGGGATTAAAGGAATGCACCACCACCAGCTGGAACAAATATTGTTATTTTTAAAATACTGCTTTACTTCATATTTTACTCCTAAAAATGTTAGAGAGATAGCTCAGCAGGAAAAAGCACTTGCTACCAAACTAGTGACCTGAGTTCAATCCCCCAAGGTTCATACAATAGAGAAAACAAACTTTTCTAAACTGTCTTCTGACTTCCTCATACACACAAATAAAATGTAATTAAAAGGCAAAAAGTTAAAATAAAAAGAACAGTATCAGAGTGACTCCAATTTCTCTTTCTGACTTAGTAAGATTTCATTATGCCTCTATGGTCTGTCAAATTCTGATTTCTAACAGGTCTGACCTCTAGCTTTGATCAGTGTCATTAGTAATATCTGGCACATAGAAAAAGACAATTTTGTTAATTTGTTGTTGTTGTTTGGTTTTTTTTAAACAGGGTTTCTCTGTGTAGCCTGGCTGTCCTGAAACTCACTAGGTAGACCAGTCTGGCCTCAAACTCAGAAAGATCTCTGACTGCTGGGATTAAATGTGTGTGAAACCACAGCTCTCTGGGAGTTCAAGGCCTGCCTGGTCTACAGAGTTCTAAGGCAGCCATGGCTACAAATAGAGAAACCCTGTCTTGAAAAACAAAAGAGTTCTAAGTTATAATAATCTAGATACCAAAGACCAAACTTTACAAAGAATTAGATCTAACCACTCCACATGAGGTTATAGAGAATCAAATTCACTTAAAATAAACCAAAGCACTAATATTAAAAGAGAATAATTTGTTTAAATACTCCAAATGTAAAATAAATTAAAATCACAAAGACTGTAAATACAGAGAGATAGCTAACCGAGTTTTTCAACAATGTAATTTCAGCTGGTTACATTTCCCTCATCTGCTCCCTGCATTGTGTGAAGTGGTCTTGATTTTAAATTTTAGGTTTATTACTCCTGTTATATGTCACGTTGCATCACAGTCAGAAAGAAAGTAAATAAGTCAGACTGGGACCCTATTGGCTAGAAGAGTTTGAAGATAGGATCCGAGAGTTTCTTCCTTGATGACTTTAAGAGCTATTTATCTTGCTGGGCGGTGGTAGTGGGTACCTTTAATCCCAACAGAGAGAGGCAGATCTCTGTGAGTTCGAGGCCAGTCTGGTCTACAGAGGGAGATCCAGGACAGCTAAAGCTACAGAGAAATCTTGTCTTGAAAAACAAACAAACAAAAAAGCTACTTATCTCTCCTGAAAACTGCTCTCTTGCCTACTACTCAGCCCCATCTACATCAGATCCTAGGACAGAATGACATGACATATTACTATTTAATAAGTAACATGTGGTCTTGACATACACAAATGTGATGAATGAAGAACACAACTGTGAATGAAACTTTCTGGAAAGAACTCCACCTTATATTGAACCTCCAAAAAGGTTGGTTAACCTATAAGAATATCACTGAGTTTAGAGATTGGAATGTTACAAGCCTGAAGCCTAATTATAATTTTCTTTGGGCTATCTTTAGCCTCCTAATAAGACATACTTGCCCATCTCTATGTTTAACCTGACAGCCTTGTGACTAACAGGAACCTTTCCGAAGGTATTAACAGATCACCTGCTTCCACCAACCCAAAGGCTAAGAGTGTTGTCAAACAGCATCGAAAGACAACAGCTGAGATTTCCCTACTTTGTTGGACTGTGCCTACCTGATGTTTCTACCAACGTATTGGAAAAATGACTCAATTATGACTTTCTTTGCTCTGTTACTATGAAAACCATGAAACTGTTACCAGGTTAGACCATGGAATCTGCACTAACTGGAATCTGTATTTCCAGGCCACATTCACTAGCACTTGCCCCCAGAATAAACTCTAATCCCCATTGAGCGATTTTTGTGTCAATAATATATTTAAATTACTTTTTATAAGCCCCACTTTATTGTATTAAATACTTAGGAAGAGATTCCTGATTGTCCATTGCAAGTGATAAGTTAACTAAATAAGCAGACAAAAATGCCAGACATTTACCTGTGATCCAAATCTTCACATCTGTGTGGGGCTTAAGATCTTAACTGATCTGCCTCCTTTCACTGTCATAGCCTCCATTTCACCTAAAAATAAATACTCAACCAATTGCTAGTGGATATTCATAATGAGAACAATGAGCGGTTTCCTCAATCAAGAATCCAAACTTCTCTACCCTCCAGTCTCTATTTTCTCACCCAACCTAGTCTCAGCAAAAGCATTCTCCATGCCCCTTATTTGCTAACCTGGATTTCTCTGAACAGAAATGAGTACTTTCCTTCCTGTTCACATTCAATTTCCAACCATACTCATGGCTCAGTTAAAAAATATGTTATTCTCTAAAATTTCATCAGCAGAACTCTCCAAAACCTGAAAGAGATCCCAAATTAGTAACTGATAGGCAACATGTGACTTTTATCTGAAAAACACTTAAAAGCTGAGATGCAAACCAGGTGTGGTGGCATGTGCCTTTAATCCCAGCACGTGGGAGGCAGAGACAGTTGGATCTGAGTTTGAGGTCAGCCTGATCTACAAAGTGAGTTACAGGACAGCCAGGGCTACACCAAGAAATCCTGAAACTCTGTGGGGTTTGGAGGAGTGACATATAGTTTTGTTTTTGTTTTTTCTTGATTTTTCCAGACAGGGTTTCTCTGTGTAACAGTCCTGGCTATCCTCAAACTCTCTTTGTAGACTAGGCGAGCCTCGAACTCACAGAGATTCACCTGCCCTTGCCTCCCAAGTGCCACCACCTCCTGGTGAGGTATAGGGTTCCTGTTAACAGTATTTGAGCTGGGTGTCGTGCACACCTTTAATCAACTGGGAGGCAGAAGCAGGCAGATCTCTGTTGAATTTGAGACCAGCCACCCCTCAACACACAAAAGAACGGAATTTGAACTGTTTCTTGAACAAACAGGATGGTCTGGAAACACCTAACACCTCACAAACCATCCATTTGTTATAGCTAAGTAGCAGGCAACCAGTTCCTGCTACTTACATATTCATTAATCAACTACCTTAACCTCTGAAACGACAAAAAGCTGCATTCCAAAGATAAGCAAAACAACAAACACACCCTCCTCCCTCCCAGTTTAATTTAAGTGTAAAGACAAAAGACACAAACAATTAGGAAACAAAATGTCTTGTGCTAGGAGGGAACTAGAAGGCACTTAAAGAATCCTACCTAACTCTAGGAAGTTAGGGAAGGACTACACAAAAATAGAGCACTGTTAAGCCTGAGGAAGGGCAGCAACCAGAACACCGGAGGACTCAGGCAGAACAGGATCACCTGGACAGCTTAAAAAAAAAGGGGGGGGGGGAGATTATATTAATAAGGTAGAAGTGAGCATTGAAATCATAGGACCAAAAGGAAGAATGAGGACTCAGCAAGACATTGAAGAGAGAGGGGTAAAAATAATTTAAAGGAAATGCAATCAATTCGGTATAGATGGAGCAACAGCCAATCTTAAAACACCGGCGTCAGAAAAAGAGCTCAATTTGAAGGCGAAAGCTACACTTTAATTAAGGTCAGAAAATGAAACACAATTTCGAAACAAGGCTAAATGTGTAAGGGTTTGATAAGCAGACAAAAAAAAAAAAACACAAAAAAAAATCAAAACAACAACAAAAAAAACCCAACCCGATTCCAGGGAGCACAGAGACGGGGTGCTCAGGGGTGAACTGAGTTAGAAGCAGTGATACCCCGAATCCAGGGAGAGGAAGCACAAAACAGCACGGAGGTGACAATGTATAGAAGACCAAAGGGGCTTACATCTTGGGCGATAACCAAGCACAACCGGGATGTGAAGCATGGTAGTTTTGGCTGGCCACAAGTTTGCCAAGAGAATTAGTCCCAGTGGTCCCTTGGCGGACGCCAAGGCATTAATGCCTCTCAAAATTCAGCTGCGCCCTGGGTGGATTGCACTTCGTCCCTCCGCTTCAGTCAGGGTTGAGTGTGCAGGCTCCGGGACAGGCTCTGGGCTCCGGGCTGCTGACACGCAGGTTCCCAGGGGGTAGTTACAGGCCTGGTCTGTGTGTGCTGGTGGGTAGAAGTTAAGTATAAACTACCACGCATTGTTTTCTAATTTCTCTGTAGAAATGAACGGCCTATGACGACCTCTTAAAGAATAATAATCAGTGCGTGCCCATTCCCTATTTACGGGGGGGGAAAAGAAGGTGCCAAGAAGCTCAACATCTGTCCATGCCAGCACTCAAGAAAGGGTAATTCTGTCAATCCAACTCTCCTCACGTTGGCTTTGTCTCCCCAGCCCCATTGAGATTCTCAACAGCAAGTGGGCTGTTTTCGCACTTTCTTCCGTCTCTGAAAGTGCCTACTAAAGCTCTGGTGATGTCCAAAAATGAAAACCACAGACTTCCTGACAGACCTCGCGCCGCTGAAGTTACCTAGCTCCGTATTCCTTTTTGCATATTAAACTGCTACCAAGAAGCCGAACCTGTGTCTTACACTCAAGACTTTGCTTTCCGCCCAAATCCACTGAGTCTCTCCAGGCTCCACCACGAGCGCAGGATCATGCAGACCTCCAACGCGGCAGGAAACGCCGGCCCGGCCACCCGCCCGCCGCATGCGCCCCTCGCGCCTCTGGGGAGAGCAACTCACTCACCTACGTTCTCCGGCGGCGGCTGAAACCCGCGAAGGCAGACGTCCGCTTCCCCAGAAGGCACTTCCGGCGCGGGCGATGACGTCGCCGGGCGCGCCGAGCCCGGGTCCGCGGTCGCCCCGGTTTCGGTGTTACCGGAGAGGCGCTGCTCCGCGCTGTAGCCGCGGATGCTTGCGCGGCAGAGAGTCACTAGGGTTGAGGCCGCCGCGGACTCGCTGCCTCCGCTCACGGCTGTTACGCTGAAGGTAAGCGCCCACGCCACGGCCCCGCGACCCCGGCCCCGACCCCGACCCCGGCCCCGGCCCCGGCCCCGGCCCCGAGGACGTCCAGCCTGCATCGCGGTTCTTCCACCTGAGGAACTTGAAAAGTGACCAGCAGGTGTTGGCTACCTGAGGCTTTCTAGATAATGCCCTCAAACGCTGGCGTGAAGCTCTCTTCCGGTTAATGCGTCCATTGTCATTCCTAAAGCAGATAACTTTGTCATTCCAGGCACCCTGTAATCCTGCCGACCTCTGCGCATTTTAAATCAAAATGTTGAATTCAATTAGGTTTCTAATATAATTTTCCCTGGCCATTTGCAGAGTTGTGAGCACTGAAATTGATTACTGAGCATGCTTATAAATATACAGGTTAATGTCCGTTCAAAGCACGTAATTCATATAATAATGTCATTTCATAAAATGGTTAGGCACCAAATTAAAAATGCCAAAGAACTTTATCGAAATATGAAGCTAAATTTCCCGCGGAAAATCACTCGGGAGGAAAATAATAAGAAAATAAAAACAAGTACCCAAAGTTAACAAAAATGTGACCGGCGTGGTGGCCAACACCTGTAATAACCTGTATTTCAGACATAGATGCAGGAGGTTAGGGAGTTAAAAAACAAGAACAAAAAGGAGGAATTGGCAGGTATCCCTTTCGGAGGTGGGCGGGGAAGCTATGGCGAATACTTGGAAAGCATCTTTTTGCTTTTACCCTAAAAAGACGTAAAAAGTAGCCTCGTGGCTTCTCCAGCTCTTTAAACCTTCCTCTCTTCCGCAGTGCAGCACTACAAGGCTTACATCCGCTGCTTGAAAAGGATTATGGTAATTCACACCCCACCCCCCAAGAACCTACTCTTATCTCTTTAAATGAATGGAGGGTGTGGAGTTCTGCCTTCGTGATTGCCAGTGTTTGGTTTTATTTGGAATTCTTATTCCTGATGGTTTGTTTTCCGTTTTAGAAATGAGTGGCGGCTTAGCTCCAAGTAAGAGCACGGTTTATGTATCCAACTTGCCCTTCTCCCTGACAAACAATGATTTATATAGGGTAAGTTTTACTATCAGTACATCTAACTAGTGAATTTCTCTTTAAGAGAGAAACTGTAGCTTAAGCAAATTACTGCTCCCTGGGAAAATTCTTAATATGTATCTCCTATAAATTTTAGTGAAAATTAGAAATTTTTAATTTCCATAGAGTATTTACACTGCTTTTTGTTCTGTTTTTTTGTTTGTTTGTTTGTTTGTTTTTCGAGACAGGGTTTCTGTATAGCCCTGGCTGTCCTGGAACTCATTCTGTAGACCAGGCTGGCCTTGAAGTCACAGAGATTGGCCTGCCTCTGCCTCCCAAGTGCTGGGATTAAAGGCATGCACCCCCACTGCCTGGCACATGTTATTTTCTTTATATAAAAGCAGTAGTGACCCACGCCTTTAAACCCAGCACTCGGGAGGCAGAGGCAGGCCAATCTCTGAGTTCAAGGCCAGCATGTTCTACAGAGCGAGTTCCAGGACAGCCAGGGCTATATACAGAGAAACCCTATCTCGAAAAACCAAAGAAAATAATATGTGATTTAGAAACAGCTAGATGATGATGTGTGGCTATGATCCTAACACTCTGAAAGCTGAGGCAAGAGGATTGTGAGTTAAAGGCTAGCTGAAACTATAGCAGTATACTATCTCAAACAAAAAACAAGCTCAACCACTTGCCTAGCCTAATTGCACATTCCTGTAATCCCAGCACATTGGAAGCTGAGGCAGGAGGCCAGACTGGGCAATTTAGACCCTGTCTCACAAAAGAGAAAAGGTAAAGAGGGATACTAAATTAGGCTTGGAGGTGAAATTTTAGACTGTGTGGTAAGAAATAACCTTAGTTAAAAGGTTACTGGGGGCTGGTGGTGTAAAGTGGTTGGTATAATGCTTGTTCTGCATGCACAAAGCCATATGCACCACATAAACTAGGCATTGATGGTGTGTATACCTAATGATTCCAGTATTTGGAAGGTGAAGGTTGAATATTGGAAATTCAAGGTCATCCTCAGATACATGGGGACTTTGAGGCAAGCTTTGGATGCATGAGAACCTGTCACAAACAAACAAAAGGTGACTTTTGAATAAAAATGTGAAGCAGGGGCTGGAGAGATGGCTCAGCGGTTAAGAACACTGGCTGCTCTTCCAGAGGTCCCGAATTTCAATTTCCAGCACCCACATGCTGGCTCACAACCATCCATAATGGAATCTGATTCCCTGTTCTGACCTGCAGGCAGCATGGAGGCAGAACACTGTATATATAATAAATAAATCTTTAAAAAAAAAATGTGGCCGGGCGGTGGTGGCGCACGCCTTTAATCCCAGCACTCGGGAGGCAGAGGCAGGTGGATCTCTGTGAGTTCGAGGCCAGCCTGGGCTACCAAGTGAGTTCCAGGAAAGGCGCAAAGCTACACAGAGAAACCCTGTCTTGAAAAACCAAAAAAAAAATAAATAAATAAAATAAAAAAATAAAAAAAAAATGTGAAGCAATAAAAGGCAGTTGTCCAGATGTCTAGAGCATAAGCATTTCCAAAGAGAAAGGGTAATATAAGTAAACTCATGCTCCCCTTGGTTTACAGGCCTGATAGAGGCAATCACTGTAGCCTCACTTGGAAATGAGAACCCATTAGAAAGTTACAATTCCATAGGAAACTGCTGGGCCTTGGAATCTAATGTTGCTAACACTGACCCAGAACTCAGCATTTCATTATGAAACTGCATGTGATAAGATGTTCTAAAAGCCCTTTCTTAGGAATATTATTTCGAAGCATTAAATAATAGGTCAGAACTATAAATATCTAGATATTTGCTGAAACTATAGAAATGGATAAGTTTGTTAGGATGTATGTAGAAGTACAAGGGGAGAAAAGGCCAGCTATAAAGTCCCACCATTATACTAACGATGGGTCAAGGACTGCACCTCTATAAATAAAAAGATTTTTGTTTTTGATCTTTGCCAGTGGGGTCTTGCTTTGAGGCCAGGGCTTGTCTCAAACTCATGGTCTTCTTGATCTTCTGCATGCTAGGATTATAGCCATTTATCAACGCTCCTGGCTGGAGATGCTTTATTTTTTATTTTTTATTTATTTATTTATTTTGGTTTTTTGAGGCTTTTTTTATTATAGGAAGCTTTTGGTAATGTATGCAGCCAGAGTCGTCTGTCTTGAAGCAGTTGATTGTTTAAGTCTTTGTTGTTGTGACATCCACAGCACAGGTTAGCTGGAGCTCTGGTGGGGTTGATGGTCCCAGAGATAGATCGGGAATTCAGCCGCTCCCTAGTGTATGTGCCATAGATAACTCTAAGGACATGTTGATGTTCTTTCTCTCTGTCCACTCCCTAGAAGGAGTTTAGGAACCCAAGCAGATTACCTTTAACTCCAGGAACTATATTATTCTAGTCACTTAGAAAATGTGTGGTTTGTTGATTCAGGGTTTTGCTGTGTTGCCCAAGGTGGCCCCTAAGTCATGCTCCTCCTTCTCAGTCCCCTCGGGGTAGGAATATTTCATGTAAAGCTGTTGTATAGACTAAAGATTGAATTTTTTCATAAAAATATAACAAAGAATGTAGTCAGTGTGTACAATCAGAATATTTAATTTTGGTAAATAATTTAAATTATAAATTATTCTGTGATCTTTTGTTTCAGATATTTTCCAAGTATGGCAAAGTTGTGAAGTAAGTATTTACATTACAAGATACTTGGTTAAATAAAAATACTATTGTTAACATTTTTACAGAAAGTTCAATTATTTTTCCATGAAATAAGTACCTGATAGTTTTCATATCATACATAAATGACTATGTATTATTATAAAGATGTAATAGTTTAATAGTATTGCTTCGATAGTGCTGAGAACTGATCTCAGGGCCTCAGACTTACTAAGACCATTCCTAACCTCTGAGCTACATATCTAGCTCCTGAAGGTTGTCAGAGCTTATTCTTATGCAGTGTAGAGATTAGCTGGAAATGCCTAAGGGGAAGTTACACTGGAGTAACATTGTCTCTGTGCTCAAGGTGGTATCAGGCCACTGTTAAAATGGTATCGATATCTCTACAGCCAAAACTTTGGACTGGCTGTAGACCTGTCCCCCACCCCATGAATTGACACTTGAAACATTCATAACCTCTGTTGACCTGTGTATAATGGGCTATCCCCAGACTACTTAGACACCAACACTAAACCCAGTCATAACTCCTGACTAAGAAGTGCTGTGATTTCAAACCCACGTGTAGTTTTATTTATTTATTTAGATTTTTTGAGACAGGGTTTCTCTATATAGCTTTGGAGCCTTTCCTGGAACTCACTCTAGCCCGGGCTGGCCTCCAACTCACAGAGATCCACCTGCCTCTGCCTCCTGAGTGCTGGGGTTAAAGGCGTACGCCACCACCTCCCAGCCCCCTATGTAGTTTTAAAGCAGTAACTACAGCAGCATTTTATAACTCCTTGGAGCACTTCGGCAGGACTACTTGAATCTGTTTTACTGGGCTACAATCCTCATTAGCTCCAAGTTGATTTAATTCTCTTTGTTGTAGACCAGTTTGATGTTATTCTCAGCCACTAGGGGAATGAGAGCAAATTGAGTTAGCGAGGCTAAAATCTGTAACTACACCACGGAAGAAACCTGGAACAATATGGTCACATAGAAAGGCTCTCTGTTCGTCCTTGAAAGACCATTTGGGAGTTAAGTCAGTTATGCTTGGTGTGAATAAGGACTGGATGTAGAAGAAGGATGTGTTGGGGTGGCCCCTTGTTTTCAGGACAGTGTCTGCTTCGCAGTGTATGCTAGAATGATTCCCTCATACCTACCCTGCATCTGAAAACAGTGCTACTCTACCTCTTTCTGCATGCCAGGAACACAAGGTCATTACGGATTTGGTTGGTTTGGTTTTAGGTCCTTGCTGTGATATTACTTTTCCATTACTAGAGAAGAGATCTGTAAGTGAGCTCCCTATTGTGACTGGTTTACAGTGCCTCCATCACTAAACTTGCCCTTTCCTAGGGGCGCATGCCTTCTCTCTTGTCTGTAGTGTTCATTGCCCAGCCTGAATATAATAGTGGCCGATTGTCCAAGTGAGTAACCATGTAGGTGTGCCCTTGTAGAAAATTTTCTATGTGTGTGGTTTTGTTCAGGGCACGATACACAGGTGACATTGTAGCATAAAAAGACTTCACGTTAGATGAGTTGAGGCATTACCTGTATTAAACAGATAAATGAAGGAGAATGTACTTAGTAGAAAGGAGAAGGAATTTCCATGGAATGTATTAGGACAGATACAGAATCTTAAACCTTGTAAATAAGGCAAATTTTAAAAAGCAAGGATTGGGAGGTGGAAGCAGATAGGAAACATGTCAGTAGACTCCCATCGGAGAGGCACTAGCCATGCTGCATGAACCCAGTGCTCCCCTCACTGTTTCAGAGGAGAAGGAGCAGTGACAGAGAGGAGTGGGAGCCAAGAATAGTGAATTCCAGAAAAAGCACCAGGGATGGAGCCAACTGCGGTGTGCTGCTGTAACGCCAGTTGTTCAGAAGGCTGAGGCATGGAAATACAGACTTCAAAGCCTGACTCACACAAGGAGACTCTTGTCTCAAAAGATGTTCGACTGGTGTTGAAACCCTCACTAAATCCCATGATAGCCTACCAGAGCCACTGTGCCCAGTTTTCATTAAAAAAAAAAATGTGTTTACCCTAACAAGAAATAATTTTCTTTTTTAAATAATTCATTATACTTTATTTTATGTGCATTGGTGTGAAGGTGTCAGATCCCCTGGAACTGGAGTTACAGACAGTTGTGAGCTGCCATGTGGGTGCTGGGAATTGAACCCAGGTCCTCTGGAAGAGCATCCATGCTCTTAACCGCTGAGCCATCTCTCCAGCCCCCCAAAATAATTATTTGCTATGGACTGCTGAATCCCAGCTTATAACTAGTAAAAGGTCAGTATTGACAACCCCCAGTTATTTGAGATGGTGTATTTTAAATTGTTGTTACCCAGTGTGTGTGCCTGTCTCTGGAGGCCAAGGGTTGACGTTGACGGTTTCCTTGATTGCTCCAGCTTTTAAAGAAAGTTTTATTACTGGAACTGGAGCTCACTAGTTCTGCTGCCTGACCAGTAAGCTTCAGGGACCCACCTGTCCACCTGTCTCCTCCCCCAACACACACACACACAGTGAGGTCATGGAGGTACACCAAGAAGCCCCGCTTTTCTGTGGGTATTGGGGATCCTCACTAAACTCAGGTCCTTGTGCTTGCACAGCAAGGATTTTCTGACTGAGCTCTCTCTCGGGGTTTGGCTGGCTCTTGATAAAGCCAATGACTTGAGACACAAACAGAAGAAGACTACATTCATTAACCAAAGCATGGAGAAGTAAGAGCCTTGTCTGAACTCTGGGGAGTAGACTGGTTATACATACAGACAACATTGCTGAACAACAGGAAAGGGGAACTCTGGTGCCACCTCTCTCTCCCATTTTAGAGTCTGGTGTTTTCAGGCACAGTAAAGAGTAGCCTAGGAAAGGGTACAGAAGAGACAGAGACACTTGGAAGACAGATTTGGTCAAGCCTTTCCATCCTGTTTAATGGCCTGTCAACTGCAAGACCAAGTCAAGAGTTAATACCTTCAGGCCACTGAAAAGTAACCTAGGCAACTGTCACCATCACCTCCTCAGCAAAGATGCAGTCTGCAGAGAAGCTGTTGGGAGACAGATAATTTACTGTCTCACTATCCAGAATTAGTGGTTTTAAAGTCAGCTAAGAGTGCGTGCAGCTAGGTTTAACCTTAGTCATAAGAACAAAGTATCTAGTGAAAATAGCAGACCCACCTCCCCCTGCCTTTTGTTTGTGTGTGCACACCCCTGGCATATGCATATAGAGAAGAGAGGAGGGCCTCAGGGGTCCTAGATCTCCCACTCTCTAACTTACTCCCTCAAGACAGGGCCTTTCACTAAACCTGAAGTTAACTGTTTTTGCTAGTCTTGCCTGTGACCTCCCAAGATACACGAGTTTCTGCCCGCCAAGACTGAGGGTACAGGCATGTGCAGCCATGCCCAGCTTTTACATGAGTGCTGGGAATTCACACTCATGTTTGTACAACAAAGCACTGTTACCTGCTGAGGAGATTCCTGTATCCACGCGTACCTGTCCTTAGCATTTCCACTTGCTCTGTAGCTTGCACTCTCTTGACTGTGTGAATGTATACATGTATGTATGCCATTGTTTTTAAGTTATAAGAGCTAGTTGAGACAAGCCTAAGCTAAAGGCCAAGCTTTCCTAATTAATAAGTTTCCTTGTCATTATTTGTGATCTGGTGGCCAACAAAAGGCTTGCTACAGTCTCAGGCTAGAGAAGTGGCTCAGCCATTAGGAACACTGAGTACTCTTCCAGATTACCCAGGTTTGATTCCCAGCACCCGCTTGGCAGCTAATAATTGGCTGCAATTCCAGTTCCCGGGGCACCTGGCACTCAGGCACTACACACACATGGGACACAGACATACATGCAGGCCAAATACCCATGCACATAAAATAAAAATTGCAAGTAAATAAATAATACAGGGTCTCACTGCATACCTCAAGCTAGCCTTTAGCTTGGTACAGTCTTCCTGCCTTAGCCTCCTGAGTGTTGGCATTCTAAGCACGTGCCACCACAGCAGATTCAAACAGTGTTCTTCTAAATTACACTAAATGACATGTGATTAGCAATCCCTGTAACCTGGGGGCACTGAGGTAGGGCTAAGGACCACTAATGTGGAGACTCTGAAATAGAGACACTTGGATCTAAAACTTGAGAAAAACAGTAAATCATTTTGCTCTTCGTATACAGGAGAATACCTCAGCCTGTGTTTTGGGTTTTTCAAGGGAAGAGTTAGTAGGAAGAAGACAGGCATTTTGATAGGCAGTTGATGATGATGTAACAGTTGCAGCAGCCTCTCTTCACGGGACCCCTCAGGCTCTGTTAGCGCCCAGCTCTAGCTGTGCTCTTCTGTAGTCTGTGTCATTCTCTCATTCCCATCTCCTTGATCCCTCCGGACTTTGAGGAGTGGGATGGTTTAAATCATTCTTCTTTAGAAAGATCTCCTAGCCTAGGCTAGCCTCAAGCTCTCCAGATGAGAATGACCCTGAACTCCTGTTCCTTCCTCCTTCCTCTACAGAGTACTGGGATCACAAGAATCTATCACTAAGCGTGATTTTTTTTCTCTTTTCAAATGTTTCATTATTTAACCTTATAAAAATAGTCGCGAGTTTCCTGAGTATGACAAGTTTGTGTCTTATTTTTAACTGGTTCTTTGTGCTTTAAGGGTTACTATAATGAAAGACAAAGACACAAGGAGGAGTAAAGGAGTTGCATTTATTTTGTTTTTGGATAAAGACTCTGCCTTAAACTGCACCAGAGCAATAAATAACAAACAGGTAAGCCGTTCATTTCACCAAGATTGTAACCCAAAAGTCTGTGTTCATCTAAACCAGAAGCTATGTGTGGGGCTGCAAGAGATCATCACATCTGTTTAATAGCTGTAATTCACGAGTGGCTACCTTTTGGGAAAAGATGTCAGCATTGTATTGGGTTATCAGAACATTGGAAGAATCTTAAGAAAAAAGTACGACATAGAATATATCACATATTTATTACAATAAGAATTGAGGAGCTGGTGTCTGGTAACTAGGGCTTGGTGAACTACATCCTTTGTGTTTACATTTTTCTCTGATTTAGTTATTTGGTAGAGTGATAAAGGCAAGCATCGCTATTGACAATGGAAGAGCAGCTGAGTTCATCCGAAGGCGAAACTACTTCGATAAATCTAAGTGTTATGAGTGTGGGGTGAGTAAACGTAAAACTCGGTAACTTCTGTAGTAGAAAGTGTTCTTCATATTAGTCTTTTAGTGGTGCCCAAGGGGGCGGGGGTGGGGGGGGGTATGACACAGGGCTCCAAATGTCCCGCCTGCTCTATCACTCATTCCCTTTTAGCAGGAGTCTCTGAACTTGGGCTAAGCTAGTGACTTGCAAACTGCAGCAGTCTCATCTCTACACACAGAATGCTGAGGTTACAGGCACACATAGGACCGTGCCTCGCTCTTTTTTTATAATGTGAGGTCTGGGCATGTGAACTGTGGTCTTCATCCTGTGCACCAAAGCACCCTCACCTGCCATGTCATCTCTCCAGCCTCCCCATAATCTCGCTTTTGTTAAGATTGTTTTCAGTTTGTTTGAGACAGGTCTAATGTAGCACAGGCTGACTCAGATTCACCATGTAGCAGATGATGACCTTGAATTTAAGATCCTCTTGCCTCCAGCTCCTGAGTCCTGGGATTATAGGCATGTTCTACCACTTGTAGTTTATGAGTTACTGAAGATCAAATCCAAGGCTTTCTGCATGCTAGACAAGCATTCTTCCACCCTCAGCTCCTCACCAAAATTTTTCTGGCTAAAACCAGGTTATGAAAGCAACTTTACTTGAAGACTGTAAACTCATCTGAGTAAACATCATTGAAATGTAGTATTCAGGGGCCAGCAAGATGACTCAGTGGGTAAAGGTGTTTGCCATGCAAGCCTAATGACCTGAGTTCAATCCTTGGAACCCACATAAAGGTGGAAGAAAACCTAATCCACAAAGGTGTGTAGTTGGTTGTTTTAACTCTGACTCTTTTGGGGGTCCTACCACCCAGCTCCCAAATAAATACACAGAGACTTAATTCTTTTTTATGAATGCTCAGCCTTAGCTTGGCTTGTTTCTAGCCAGCGTTTCTTAACTTAAATTTCCCCATCTACCTTATGCCTCTGGGCTTTTACCTTTCTCTCACTTCTGTATATCTTACTTTCACTCTTACTCCATGGCTGGCTAGGTGGCTGGCCCCTGATGTCCTCTTCCTTCTCTAGCTGCTGCTTTTCTCCTCCCAGATTTCTCCCTCTATATATTCTGTCTGTCTTTGGAAGCCTCAAAGCCCACCCATATGGCACAGCTCCAATAAGGCCACACCTTCTAATCCTTTCCAAACAGTTCCACCAGTTGGGGGCCAAGTATTCAAATACATGAGCCTATGTTGGCCATTCTCATTCAGACAACCACCTCCTCTCCAGCTGCCATTCCTTACCACTGTTGGCCAAGAAAAGATAATATTGTAGACAGGTAGGTAGATAACGAGAAAGGAAGTAAATATGGCATGAGCGAATACTAATTTAGTCAGTTCATGTTGTTAAGTCCTGTTAAAAGATTCTTTTGAAAGGAATCTAAAGTCCTAAGTTGTGTTTGTAAAAAGAACAGTGCTGGCTGAGCATAGCAGCACAAGCCTATAGTCAGTCCCAGCAGTCAGGAGGCTCAGGGTTATCCTGAGCTACATGGTGAATTCTTGGCTAGCCTAGGCCAGAGAGACTCTCTCTCCATTAGGTCTGTTTGTTTGTTTAAGAATTTCCTTACTCTCCACATTTATAGCTAATACACATCATCTGAGAAATGCTAAATAATGTGCGAATCAAATATTCCTTTTGATGTATGGGTTTAGACAGTTTTTTTTTTTTTTTTTTTTTTTTTTTTGGTTTTTCGAGACAGGGTTTCTCTGTGTAGTTTTGTGCCTTTCCTGGAACTCACTTTGTAGACCAGGCTGGCCTCGAACTCACAGAGATCCGCCTGCCTCTGCCTCCCTAGTGCTGGGATTAAAGGCGTGCGCGCCGCCGCCGCCGCCGCCGCCGCCGCCGCCGCCACCACCACCCAGCGACAGATTTGTTATTGTCATGCTTTGTACATTCTTGTTATTTATTGTTTTGGGTCTTTTGTTTATTTACTTCGTCTCATGATGTAAACTCAGCTGACCTAGAACTCACTGGGAGACCAGGCTGGCCTCAGACTCAGATCTGCCTGCCTGTGTCTCCCAAGTGCTAGGATCAAAGTTGTGTGCCACACACCAGGGTCAGTACTTTTTATTTTAAAGACAGTGCCTCGAACACAGGCGAGCCTTAAACTTGTTATATGCAGAAGATGGTGTTAAAGCTCTGAGCCTCTTCCACTTCCAGCGTGCGGGGATTACAGCCGTGAGCCACCACCCTTGGTTTACATGTTGCAGGGGAGTCAAACCCAGTGCTTTGTGTATGCTAGGACAGGCACTGCAGCAACTGAACTACAGCGCACACCCACTCTGTACAGTTTTATAGTTCTTTAATCCCCCCCAGAAAACAGTCTGTTTTTTAAGATTTATTTATTTATTATGTATACAGTGTTCTGCCTGCATGTGTGCCTGCAGGCCAGAAGAGGGCACCAGATCTCATTACAGATGGTTGTGAGCCACCATGTGGGTGCTGGGAATTGAATTTAGGACCTCTAGAACAGCCAGTGCACCTAATCTCTGAGCCATCTCTCCAGCCCACCTCCACTTGTTTTTAAAGCTGAATATTCAACAATATCTTACAAGTTAATAGAAATAATTTTATCCCCATTTATCAAGCTCATCTAAAACTTTTATTCGAGTTGATGATCCATTTAAATTTAGAATTCTTTTGTATGGTGAAAATTGAGATTTAAAATGCTTTGAGGAGCCCGGCGCGACAGGATACTGTTTGCTGGATTCTAGCCTTTCAGTCACAGGGCCAGCGCAGGTTTCTATCCTAACAGCAGCTCTAGTCTCTTTCTTTCTTTCTTTTTGAATGTGAAACAAAAGGAAAGTGGACACCTAAGTTATGCCTGTCCTAAAAACATGCTTGGAGAACGTGAGCCTCCAAAGAAGAAGGAGAAGAAGAAGAAGAAGAAAGTCCCCGAACCAGAAGAGGAGGTGTATGTATAGTGTGCTCACTAAGATGATGTGTTGTTGGCCTTTTTAGTGGTAGCTGACTGCATCTCAGTTCTTTCTCTTTGCTGACCCAGTGAAGAAGTAGAAGTGAGTGAAGAAGAAGGGGAGGATCCGGCTCTGGACAGTCTCAGTCAAGCCATAGCATTCCAGGTACTGATGTTCTGAAGGGACTGGTGGCTGGGGACTTAGCTCAGTGACGCACCACTCGCTAGGCAGGGCAGAGGAAGGAAAGGAGATGGTTGATAGTGTGCAGTTTAGTGTCCCGTTGATTTGTTTAACTGAGTGAAGCGACAGCCTTTGATCCTGCCTGCCTGGGAGACCCTGTCTCAGAAAAAGGGGCAATGCAGTAGGCATGGTGGTCCATGCCTGTGAACTCAGAAAGAGGGAGAATGTAGTAGGCATTCGTAGGTCCGTGCCTGTGAACTTGGCACTCAGCAGGGTAAAGCAGGAAGATGGGTTTGAGCCTGGCCTGGACTACAGAGTAAAATCCTGTTTCAAAAATTGAATAAAACAATACAAAAATGTATAAGTAATACAGGGCACTGTGGTGTGCTTCGTGTTATAGTTTATATTCTTATATCACTGTATTGATCACCTTATGATGGCAATTTCTGTGTTCCCTTTCACTTATAAATTTGAGGCAACACATTATTCTCAGATCTTATCTGAATGAAACATTCTCATTCATTCTTTCTAGACTGTAAGGTCCCATGTACTTTTAGCATATTATTAATCTGTCTTCATTACAAAATTGGGTGGAAGTATTGGATCACCTCAGTGGTTCTCGGCCTTCCTAACACTGCAACCCTTTAATACAGTTCCTCATGTGGTGACCTCCCCAATCATAAAATTACTTCATTGCTACTTTGTAACTATAATTTTACTACTGTTATGAATCATAATGTAAATATATGATATGCAGGACAGGATATCTGATATGTGACCTCCAAAGGGGTCACAACCCACAGGTTGAGAACCAATGGATTAGCTAGATGTGTTATCACATCTGTAATCCCACATGTGAAGTAGAGACAGGATCAGGAATTTGAGACCAGTCTGGGTAAAATTATTGTTTCAATTAAAACAGCAGTTTGATTTAAAATGTCTGTAGCCTATCTAGAAAGAATCTTTAGCCGGGCGGTGGTGGCGCACGCCTTTAATCCCAGCACTCGGGAGGCAGAGCCAGGTGGATCTCTGTGAGTTCGAGGCCAGCCTGGGCTACCAAGTGAGTTCCAGGAAAGACGCAAAGCTACACAGAGAAACCCTGTCTCGAAAAACCAAAAAAAAAAAAAAAAAAAGAAAGAAAGAAAAAAAGAAAGAATCTTTAGAAATTGCAGATGGAGCTAATCATCATATTACACACTTGTGTTCTCACCTGAGAAGGTTGAGGTAGGAGATCATGAGTTCAAGGCCAGCCTGAGCTACATAGTAAGCCTCTGTTTCAAAACAAACTGGAAAACAAAAATGGCTAGAGGTTCAGGGATTCGGTTTAGTTGCTGGCGTGCACAGTGCCCTGGGTTCTATCCGAGCACTGCACAAGCCTTGGGGGGATGCAGCCCCAGCATTATGGAAGGAGGGGCAGAAGGCTAAGAAGTTCAAAGTCCTCCTTCTATCATAGGGAGTAAAATGCTTCTCTCTCGGGGTGGGGGTATGCAGGGAACTTCCCTGGGATAAATTTGAGTAGGACCATGATGGGGACCAGTTTGTCAGTATGACCTAGAAAGGTGGAAATTATTTGTGTTCTGGTTTTTCCATAGTAATTCCTTTGAAATTAACATGGTGTACCATAAATAACTGGTTTTGTTCTGCTTCCGAATCTATTACAGCAAGCCAAAATTGAAGAGGAGCAAAACAAATGGAGACCCAGTCCAGGGGGTCCCTCAACCTCAGATGATTCTAGACGACCAAGGATAAAGAAAAGTGCATATTTCAGTGATGAAGAAGAACTTAGTGATTAAAATTGTATTTATTTTGTAAATATTATTCAAATAAAATCTTACTGTACAAAATGCAGCTGTGGACTAGAGATTGTTTTTAGTATTTGAGTATGTAAGAACACTTAAATCCAAATATTATTTACTATAATGTAGTTCAAAAGAAATTTTAAAATAATTTTTAAATACCATGTTTCTAACTTGCCTTAGTGTGGTGGCCCACAGAGGGAGAGTTCCTAGTGAGACCTTACTCAAGGTCAGAGAATCTGGGCTTGCTTTACCCAGCAAGGCTGCATAAGGGGATGATTTGGCCAGGGGCATGTTTACTGGGTGTTTGGAAGTGTCTCCACTTGGTTGTATGTTGTGCTTTGATCTTGATAGAGGGAGGTCTTTTGCCCTCTCCTTGGCATATTATAAAAAGCCCTTTTGAATAAAACTCTGGGTGGCTAGGTATTGACCCAGGGCCCTCCCAAAGCTATCCTGTGTCTCTGTCTTTCTTATTGTCTCTATCTTTCTACCTAATATTTCCTCATTCTTCTCTCCTCCACCCAAGAACCTTTTGATAGGTCAGAGCTGGACTCCAGCAGACTCCACACCTTAGCACAGTGCAAATATTAAATTTGAAAATCCAGTATCTAAAATGTTCCAGACTTTGAGCACCAACATGTCTCACGTAGGAATATGAAATTATTTCACAAACAACATTGTTATAAATAATGTATAAAACTGCTCTCAGACCATAGTGCATATAAGACATAAGTGAATTTTGTGTTTAGACTTGGTCCTCATCCAAGTATCTCTTTATGTGTATGTAGTTACACCAGAATCTGAACTACTGTAGTCCAAAGCATTTCACATATGGAAACTCAATCTGTACTAAAATCAGAATTTGTTAGTATAAATAATCTTAAAAATACTACTAACTGTCAGAAGTGGAAGTGTAGATAGCTAAATACTTTCAGAACTTAATGTAAAACTTTGTGCCTGACTGGCTTATTAAGGACTTGTGGAAAAACAATTTAACCTCTTAATTTTTTGCCTGCATGTGTGTTTTTGTGCAGCATACGCATGTAGTGCCCCTGGAGGCCGGAAGAAGGGCATTCAGTGTCCTGGAACTGAAATTACTGGTGGTTGAGAGGCACCGTGTGGGTGCTGGGAATCAAACCCAGCCAGTGCTCTTAACCACAGAACTATCTCGCCAACCCCTCAGTTTTAAACCAAACCTTTCTAAAGACCAAACAATTAAATGATTGGTTGTTGATATTAAACTTTTTAAAAAGAATTCTATCTTTAAAGATAAGTGCTTTATCTCAGTTTGAAATAAAGCTTTGCATGGGGACACAGTGAGAGGGCAACCTGGGTTACATACGGAGTCCTTTTCTTGATATAACAAAGTGAGATAGTAAATTTGCTCCAAAAGTCTTAAAACTAAACAGTTATTTGCTGACTTGACTGCTCCCTAGAAGTAAGCACTTGTTACAAATTATTTTTGACAGACAAACCTACATCTCTGGCCACATTCCTACTTAGACCTGTGAACCTTGGGCAGGGTATGTAACCTGAGTTAACTGAAAAACAGTACAACTGAAAATGAGAAATATTTTTATGACCTTGTTTTTCTCTCCCTCTCCTCTCTTCTCCCTTCCCCTATATCCCCCTCTCCAGTTCCCTCTCTCCCACTCTCTTTCTCTCCCCTCCCTTTCTCCCTCCCTCTTCTCTTCTTTCTTCCCCTACCCCCCCATACAGAATATTAGCAATTAAGAATGCTTGCTGCTCTCACAGAGTACCCAAATTCTGTTCCTAGGACCCATGTTAGAGCGCTCTCAACCACCTGTAATTCCAGCTCCAGGGAAATCTAACCTCTGGCCATCGTGGGTACATACACATATACACATAATTTTAAAATAAAATAAAGGAAACCTTTTAAAAAAGTAAAAGAATGCCCAGTCAGTGGTGGTGCCCATCACTCGGGAGGCAGAGGCAGGCAGATCTCTGTGAGTTCGAGGCCAGCCTGGGCTACAGAATGAGTTCCAGGACAGGCTCCAAAGCTACACAGAGAAACCCTGTCTGGAAAAACAAAACAACAACAACAAAAAAAAAGTAAAAGAACAAATAAAAGAAATTGAATGTTTTATCTACATGATATTAAAAATTCAACATATCGGGCTGGAGAGATGGCTCAGCGGTTAAGAGCACTGGCTGCTCTTCCAGAGGACCCGGGTTCAATTCCCAGCAACCACATGGCAGCTCACAGCTATCTGTGACTCCAGCTCCAGGGGATCTGATACCTTCACACCAATGCAGATAGAATAAAGTTAAATAAATCAGCTACAGAGCAAGCCAAAGCAGGCCACACCACTCTGAACATGCTCCATCTTTCATTTGGCAGGATCTTCTGAATAATTCAGATTATAATCTTTTTTTTAAAAAGATTTATTTATTTATTATGTATACAGAAGAGGGTGCCAGATCTCATTACAGATGGTTGTGAGCCACCATGTGGGTGCTGGGAATTGAACTCAGGACCTCTGGAAGAGCAGTCGGTGCTCTTAACCTCTGAGCCATCTCTCCAGCCTGGTGATTATAATCTTATGTTTTCCTTTTAATTTGTTCCCTTTCTTAAAACTGTTCCTTTACGTTTTGCTATACTATTAGTATGTAACTGTCAGTGTATTCTTACAGTCTTTAGGATCTCATTCTTAAACTCAAAAGTGAAAATGATGAAGGAAGCCATCATACAAAACTAGACGGCCTTTGATACACTAACAGCACAAGGAGGAGCTTGGGCCGTTGTTAAAGGGTGGACAATGCAGGCCATATATCCTCAGCCCTCTAAGAAGTACATATTCAAACTAAACCTACGTCAGGCTCTTGCTTAAACTTGATTGCTTTCTAACACCATGGTTGCAGGCACCTCGCGGTCGAAAACCGCTCTCCTACTTTTGACATTAATCCTGGCACTAGCCAAACCTTCTGTCTGATGTAGCATCTAGTGATCGGATGTCCAAAGTAATGACATCCTTTCTTACAGATTCCCATCAGTGAGGACTGTTGCCCAGCCCCCTGGCCAGCGAGGCTGTCTCTGAGGATGGAAGGATATTCCAAAGACCTGTGTGGAGTACCAGGGGACTACAGGCTTTGAGCTCAAGAGCTGTGAAAACTGTTTACCATCTAGAGGTGGTGGGACCCAGGAGAACAGAGCCTAAAAAGGAGGCAGACTGAAGTCTCATGCAATAGCCACATTTGTTCAGAAATCAGGCAATTTATGCTCTCAGGGTCATGAAAGTCACCTAAGTTCTCATGAGCTCAAGCTGTATACAATCACAAGGACAAGCTGCACAAGGCAAAACATGTTTTCCCATACAGCCATGGACACAAATAACACTCCTGTCTGCTACACCTGGGAGGGGCACAAGAGGACATTCCAAGAACAATTCCACATTTCTGAAGATCACAAGACTCTTGTCTTTTTTAGGGGGGAGGGGGCGCAGTTCTCACAAGCACTGAGAACTCCCCTCACACAACTCCACTCCTACATAAACAAAACACTTCTCGTTTTTATTATTAAAGCAAACAAAACATGAGGTGACGTTTACAGTTAGCTTAAGCACACACAAGTACAGTGAGGAAAGACACCTAGTGTTATGTCTTAGCATCTTTGGTCACGTGGAAGAGCCAAGAAGAATACTGCCCCCAGGCCTTTGCCTTTCCCACCGAGGTGATGTGACATTCCAGGACACTCCCTTCATGCACTTGCTTTCAAGTGCATCCACTGAGCTTACGTAATTCTTTCTAGAATGCCATCTTGTGGGAAGAACATTCTGTACACTGCCTAACCATAGTTCACATTAAGTTCACAGCTTTCTTATACTCGCTTCCACGGAGGACTCCTCTCATTTCCAAGCTCTTCATTGTAAGCATCACAGCTCTGGAGGGGAAAGTATACTGGCCGTCAGAAGCCAGGCTATACCTACAGCTCAGAAGGGAAAGGTATCCTGGCTGTTGGAAGCCAGGCTATACCTGTAAGTGTTACAGCTCTGGGGAGAACGGTATCCTGGCACACCTGTGTGGCTTTCATAGTAAAAGTAAACCAAGCATGGAGCTCTATAATGACACTTACCCAGCAGAAGAGGAGAGGCAGGTGGTTAGAGCAGGTAGAGGAGAAAATAGCTGGAGAAGTGCAAATGTGGTAGGGCCCTGAAAGGCATTGTAGGGAGCATGCCCATGCCGGTGGTGGGGGTGAGGGTGGGGGTGGGCAGCATAAAGAGCGTAGAGGATTCTTTCTTAAGAGGTCAGAGATAAGAGACTTAAGTCCCCTGAAGCTGTGGAGAGTGTGGGTATTAAGCCTGGGTGATATATGTGGTGGGGTTTGATGAGGCTGGTAAGGCTGTCACCCTACCTCCACAATAGGGGAACAAGAAGATGTAGGTCCCTAAAACTCCATCAGGACTAAATAGGTGGCCCCAGTGTCTAGAAGGAGAGAGATGGATCTCCCTGATGCTGTGATGTCTACCTGAGACTCCCAGTGAGAGATGGCAGTGGTCAGGCCAAGGGAGTCCGGGCCCCTCAGTCATCCATGGCCAGATCTAGGAAATCAGCTGAAGGGCCATCTGGGCTTGATGCCCTCACACCACGAGGGACATAGGGGCAGTCAACACCCCAGTGTCCTTCTTGATGGCGTCTTGGACATGGTCTAGGTGGTTTATGAGGGATTAGACAGGCCCAGACCCACTGAACCTCCTGACTGCATTTTAAACAGGGACCCAGAGGCTCTCAGGCTTTGGGAGGCAAAGGAGCCTGGGAAGTTTGTATGGCCAGTCAAAAGGCCTTCACTAGCATCGGGTATTTTTGTTTTCAGGCTTTTTCATCTCTCCCATGGTACACCTTAAAGGCACCACTAAGACTTCTGCCTGTGGAGTCTGAAGTCCTTTCTCTAGGCGTTTAAGTTTGGCCCTAATATCATGGAAACTCTGGGAGAAGAAGTAGGTCATAAGGAGTTGTTTTCCATCTGGGTCTCAGGATCCAGACTGGTATATTGTAAGAAGGCCTTGTAAGGTGGTGTAAGAATTGCGATGGGTTTTCATGTTTGTCCTGAGTGACCTCTTGGATTTTTTTCATAATTTACCTCTACAAGGGTGGCTAGCCAGGAGGCAAGTTGCAAACTGATCCCTAGCAAGGATGCCCCCTGAGGTATTTAATTTCATTCACAGTCCTGGTCAGGGACTGACTCAGCACTGACTGGTTAGGCAGCCTGTTGCTGAGAAGGGAGAAAGAAAGAGAAACCAGAGAGGATAGAGAGGAAGAGAAGGGACTGTGGGTTGGGGTTTGTTAGTGTGATCAAAAATAGTGGAAGAATCATCTGGTTTAGGCCCCACAGCAAGGAGGAGTTATTTTTCTTTGGATGGCTTATGTCATGTGGTCGCTTTTATCAAGATGGGAGTGAGGTCACATGGCAAAGTTCATCATTTCCAACTCTAG